GTTGAGGTTGGTGACGGGGTCATCCTGCGGGAGAGGAGAGGCTCCGTGGGCTGGGAATTCCCGGAATTCCCGGAATTCCCGTGGGGAAGGCGGGGATTTACCTTCCGGAGCTTGTCGTACTCGATCAGCTCCGGGCGGTGCCGGTGGATGAGGGCGTTGAAGGCCAGCCCGTCCTTCCAGCTGTGGGAAAATGGGATCAGATCCCGGGGAATCCACGGGGAAAACCGGGATCGGATCCCGGGGAATCCACGGGGAAAACCAGGATCCAATCCCGGGGAATCCACGGGGAAAACCGGGATCCAATCCCGGGGAATCCATGGGGAAAACCGGGATCCGATCCCGAGGAATCCACGGGGAAAACCGGGATCCAATCCCGGGGAATCCACGGGGGAAACCGGGATCCGATCCCGGGGAATCCACAGGGAAAACCGGGATCGGATCCCGGGGAATCCACAGGGGAAAACGGGGATCAGATCCCAGGGAATCCACAGGGAAAACCAGAATCGGATCCCGGGGAATCCATGGGGAATCTGGGAGGAAGAGGAGGAAGAAGAGGAAGAGGAGGGGGAGAAGGAAGGGAGAGAAAGAGGAGGAAGGAGGAGGAAGGAGGAGGAGGAAGGAGGAGGATGAAGAAGAGGATGAAGGAGGAGGAGAAGAATGAAGGAGGAGGAGGAAGAAGAGGATGAAGAAGAGGATGAAGGAGGAGGAAGGATGAAGGAGGAGGAGGAAGGAGGAGGATGAAGAAGAGGATGAAGGAGGAGGAGGAAGGAGGATGAAGGAGGAAGACAGATGAAGGAGGATGAAGGAGGAGGATGAAGGAGGAGGATGAAGAAGAGGATGAAGGAGGAGGAGGAGGAAGGACCTGATGTGGAAGTTCTGGACGTTGACGTTCTTGTACGGAGCCGTTTTCCGCTGGCACCAGAGCAGGAGCCCCTCCTTGGCCGAGGTCTCTGCGGGAACAGGGAGCCGGGATGGATCCCGGGTGGATCCCAGGTGGATCCCGGGTGGACCCCAGGCTGGATCCCAGGTAGATCCTGGGCTGGATCCCAGGTAGATCCTGGGCTGGATCCCAGGGTGGATCCTGGGCTGGACCCTGGACGAATCCCGGGCTGGATCCCTGGACAAATCCTGGGCTGGACCCCAGCTGGATCCCAGGTAGATCCTGGGGTGGATCCTGGGCTGGATCCCGGGTAGATCCAGGGATGGATCCCGGGCTGGATCCCGGATGAATCCCGGGCTGGACCCCGGGGTGGATCCCGGGTAGATCCCAGGCTGGATCCTGGGTAGATCCCAGGCTGGACCCCAGATGAATCCCGGGCTGGATCCTGGGCTGGAACCCAGGCTGGACCCCGGATGGATCCTGGGTAGATCCCAGGGTGAATCCCAGGGTGGATCCCGGGCTGGACCCCAGGCTGGACCCCAGATGGATCCTGGGTGGATCCCAGGCTGGATCCCGGGCTGGACCCCAGGGTGGATCCCGGGTAGATCCCAGGCTGGACCCCGGATGGACCCCGGGCGGATCCCGGGGTGGATCCCAGGCTGGATCCCGGGCTGGATCCCGGGCGGATCCCGGGGTGGATCCCGGGCACATCCCAGGCTGGATCCTGGGCTGGATCCCGGGCTGGATCCCAG